ATATATATATATATATGGCTAATTAAGCAAAATAGTTTATTTTGTATTGCTTAACTTTTGGAAAATATTCATGACAGGTAATAATTGCTTTAGTTTAAAACTTCAAATTGTTCTTGAAAGATTTCCTTAAATATTCTTATCTCCTTCTTTGGTGTGATCCTTCAACTGTTATAGATAAAACAGGGAGCTAGGTCATAGCTTGCGCTGTCATCCACATTTAAGGGGAAAATGAGGATCCCAAAGGCCAAATGAAATGGAAACTTGGCCAAATGAAATAGTCACTGATAACAGATCAAGCATCAGTAGCAGAGCTGGTCAGAAGAGGGATCACCTAACAAGAGAAACCAGGTGCTCCAGAGGCTGAAAAGCTGGGAAGCTCTGGAGCAATGGGAGATGCAAGTGGAGAGCTGGCCGGACAGCCAAGCTAGTCAGCCATAGAGAGTGAAGATTCATCTAGTGCAGGGACATGAGGTCATGGCCTAACTCTGAGGAATTATAATATAATACTAAAGACTGAAACAGAAAAGATGCCCCAAGACACTAGAACTTTTACACTGCGGTGGTATCAATGAATAGTAAGAGTCTGGCTGTATGTGGTACCCAAACCCAAGAGGTTTTGCTAAGAGTTTGGATTTGGCACCTGAACTGGGATATATTCATAAGCCTCACTATATGCCTGGCACTTGATACTAAGCGAGTAGATAAGATTGCCTGGAAAGAGTATGTGCAGCCTGATGGGAAGAAGTACTAATGTTTAAAGAACAGATACAACTTCATAAAAAAGAAGTAAAACAAACTAACAACAGATAAGAAAATATTCAAAGATGTCAAAAAAATTAAGGAGAGTGTGATATGAAGAAAGCTTTTCAGAGAGGAGGAATATTTACCTGTGAAATGTAATGAGAATTCAAGAAACCTGGAGAGAGCATTGCTTTTCAAGGGCTTAAGGAGAAACTCAATTGAATTGTGAGGTGAAGAACAACTTCAAGTGTGAACAACCAGGGTAATTTGGGTTGGGAAGGACAGGTGACAAGGAGGGCAAAAGCTGAGCAAGCTTCTCCCTGGACAGTAAGGAGCCATAGTAAAGACATGAGCAAGAGAACGACACTGTGGAAAAAAGTTTTCACCAGAACGTGAAGACACATGGGGTAGCAGATATAGATGCACACCCCTAGGTTTCACTGCTCCGAGTGCTGGCTGCTTTGGCTTACAACTGACATTAAAAGATTCTTCTTCCTCTAGGATACCCAAGAGACCCTCAGGGTACTGAAATGAATTTGTCCTGGTCACTTGCTACCTCCCACACTTGAGATTTCCCACACCCACTTGTGGCCAAACCCTGACCCCAACAAGTCCAATTTGGTGCCATTTCAATATCCTCATCAGCTTGTCTTGGTGTTGGGGGTTGCAGCTACTGGTGGGGCTGCCAGACAAGCACCCCCATCACTGTTGTTGCTACTAAAAAGAACAGGGTTCACAAACTGTCCATTTGTGCTAACTCCCATTAGACCTCTGATAGTTCACCCAAGCAGAGGCTCCTACAAAGCAACAACTGCCTTTCTCCTCTTTTCCCTCATCTCTCTCTCCTCATCTCCCCCCTCTCCCCTCCTCCTGTTCCTCTTCCTCCTCCTTCTTCCTCTCTCTCTCTCTCTCTCTCTCTCTCTCTCTCTCTCTCTCTCTCTCCATGTCTCTCTCTCATTCTTTCTGATGTTTACTAACAATAGCTCTCTGAGGGCCAGAAAGTTCTTATCTCATTTAAACTCCTGAGGTAAAAAAAACTAAAACATGGAAAAGTGACATAATTTGACCAAGGTTATATTATGGTATCTATATGAAGTGTCCTCCAAAGACTTGTGTATTGATGGCTTGATCTTCAATGCAGCAGTGTTCAGAGGTGGGACCGAGAGAGATGACTAAGTCATGAGGATGCTGACTTTATCAGTGGACTGATCCATTGAGTTCATAGATGAATGGGCTGTTAGGAGGTGGGGCCCGGGTGGAGGAAGCAGGTCATTGAGGACATGCCTTTGAAATGTATATCGTGTCCTCAACTTCCTCTATCTGACTCTTCCCTTTTCTCTCTGCTTCCTGCCTGCCATGAGGTGAGCAACAGTGCTCCACCACACCCCTCTGCAATGATGTTCTACTTCAGCTCAGGCCCACAGCAATGGAAACAACCAACTATGGACTGACACCTCTGAAACTGTGAGCCCAAATAAACTTCTCCTTTAAGTTACTTTTGTCAGCTATTTGATCACAATGATGAAAAGTTAACTACAGAAAATTAGTACCAGGAGTGAGGCTTAAATGATCAAGGTAATTTCTGAATCATTCATCTTTCCGTTGCTGGGACAAAATACCTGACATCCACAATTTAAAGGAGGAGTTGTTTAATTTGACTCCTGGTTTCAGAGAATTCAGCTCATGACTGACTGGTTCCAAGGCAGAAACTCACAGTGGAAGGGTGTGGCGGGGGAAAGTTGCTCACCCCATGGCAGTCAGGAAGTAGAGAAAGAAGGAAAGAGCCCAAGAAATATTATCATATCCTTTAAAGTCACATTCCTAGTGACCTATTTCTTCCAAATATTTCCCACTTCCTAAGAGCCCATTCAACTATGAACCCATCGGTGGCTGACCTATTGACGAGGTTAGTGCCCTAAATAAATAAGCTTTGGGGAACATTTCATAATTAAACCATAGCAGCCATAAATTAATAGATACACAGGGCAGGAATATATGCAGGCAAGTCTGGCATGGAGGCCAGACTCAAAATCTCCACTCTATCTGTTACCTGAACTTAGTGCCGAGGCTGCTTTCACGGCCTGAAAGATTCCTCTTCCCCTCATGGTATAGTCTCTTCTCACCCTTTTCTGAAATTTGGCTGCAGATTCCACCATAGTTCATTAGAAATATTTTTAAAGCTAGCTTTATAATGGAGGCAAATGGGCTCAATTTCTGAGCCCTTTACAAATTAGTGGGTATGAACAGATGGACAGTTCTTACAAGCAAGAATTAAACCTTAAGGGATGGGGATTTAGCTCAGCGGTTCGGTGGCCTGCCTTGCAAGCACAAGGACCCAAGTTCAATCCCCAGTACCAAAAAAAAAGGAATTAAACCTTAGATCAGCCAGGATGCAAATATAACCAGAAATCAGGACAGCCTGCTATCTAACACTTCCTACCAGGAATGCTAGTACCAGAGCTCCTACACAAACCAAATATTTATTAACCAAATACCGAGTTAACTGAAGTGCACTGGATAAACTAAAGCCCCCTTTCTGACCTGTGTAAGAATATTACTATGCTAGAATGTCTGCTATTATAACTACTGAGAGAAGAAAAATTAGGCCCATAATAATCATTTCTTATTTTCTTTTTCTTCTTATAGAGATCTTTCAAGGACAAGAATCAATTCTCTTCCTACCCACGGCTTAGAAAATCTTAAGAAGTTGAGGGCCAAGTCAGCATATAACTTAAAAAAGCTTCCTAACTTGGAAAAGTTTGTTGCCCTGGTGGAAGCCAGCCTCACCTACCCTAGCCATTGCTGTGCTTTTGCAAACTGGAGACGGCAAATGTGAGTTCTCCCATGTCCACCCCTGGTGCCTGGCTTGGGTGTTTCCCCAGGGTAAAACTCAACCTACAACTTCCACATATCTGAGACATGAGGAGAATCCACGTGCAGTGATACAACCACATTCAGCCTGTCCAGTCCATGCTCAGATTTTAGTAACTCATGGAGAGGACAAAGATGGAGACACCCTTTCACTTTGGCTTCCAAGAAACACCAGTTCAAGGATGTGCAGGATTAAAGAGGACAATCCAAACAGACACAAATCCTGTTAGATAATTGGTTTAAAAATTGGAGTAATCATAGACACTATCTGGAGAGAGTAGATTAAGTGGCTTTGAAGACTGCACATATTTCAGATATTTCAAAGAATGTTGGAGGTAAGAATTTGTTGACTATCAGGAGTTCTCGAAGCCCCGACTCTCCCCTGAGCTCTCGGAGAGTTCCATACCATGTAGTTGCCCTCAATCACATGACACCTTTTCACTACTCTTGTTCAGTAGCCCAGCATGAAGACAGCTGCCCTGAGATAACATTTTACTGTTTAATAGTCTCCTCAGTTATTCAGTTTTCCAACATACATTGAGCTGGAAAGGTATACACATTCCTAGCTTAAAAGCAACAAAACAGTACACACCCTAAAATGTTCTCAAAGTCACTGGGAGCACCTGGACCCATTTGAAGCATCTAAAGGGCTGCCTATAAGAATTAGCATGCATCACTGGAAGGCTGGTCAGAATCGGGGGCTCCTCACAGAACCGCTCAACAGACAAAGAATTTCTTCCTGATAATGAGAATTCTTAAGGGCCTGGGCTGAGGCAAGAAGCCGGCTTCTTTTATATTCCACACAAGAATTATTCTAGCCAGGGTGAGAAAAAGATACCAATTTTCTGCCAAGACCTTGCAACCGAATACCCCATGGGAGAAATCTCAAAGGATGTTAAGATCAGTGTAAGAGCAGTGCATGGCGTGCTGTTTGGCCCAATGCCAGCACACCACAAGGCTCTATTATCTTATCACATTGCTCAGACACCTCCATCTTGCCACCTCCTACCTGTATAGACATAGACTTGGGGCTCACCCAACCAAAAATTGTAGAACTGCTTTAAGTGGCAGACCCCAGCAGACTACCAGATCCTCGTCCTTCCAAGTGCCTGCTGTTGCTTACCATCAGGGCCCATTACAATGCAACAAGGCAGAGGCCCACACCTCCTCCTTGACATAACCAAATGTGGGTGCTGGATTTCTTTTTAATTTAACAAATTCACACATTAAAAACCAAACATGCGAATAAAAAGGTATTTTAGGGCTGGGGATTTAGCTCAGTGGTGCTGCTGCCTGCCTTGCAAGCGCAAGGTCCTGAGTTCGATTCCCATACCAAAAAAAAAAATTACACAAACAAACACAATACAAAATAATTATGCTTTTCAGAAGAAAAATCCTGGGATATATTCCTAAAATAGTGTCATTTCATTATATTATGGGAAGTGTAGTTTGGTGATGGGATTCAAGTTTACAGTTGTGTCGTCATTTGGAAATAGTGCGCATGGTGTACCTAACAGGCCTTCGTTCCTGTGAGGTTTTAGCCAATGGCCTTCCTGGAATCTTGTTCAAAGGATGGGTCAACCACACCCCTCATGAATCATTTAACCAGATATGATATTTCCTTATCATGGTTCTACAGTCAGCTTGTGTTATTTCACTTTTATTTATTCTTTAGTCTTTCTTGTGCTTAGATCATTGCTTCACAACTGGATTGTGGATTGAGGCACTGTGGCACATGCCTCTAAGTACCCACATGGGGCTCTCAAAGCACCCACCATCATCTATCTTCATGTGGCTGACACTTTCAGAGTACTCACTGCCAGGCACTACGACACTTTGCATCTTTTCCTCTAACATCTTAAACATAATATCATCCTCATTGTTAACATTATTCCCTTCTCACAAAGGCAGAAATTGGGGCTCAGAAATACTTGATAAATGCTGACCAAACTCAGATCCAAACCTCTCACTCCCTCCAAAGTTCCAGCTCTGGGACACTCTACTATGCCACCCTAAGCATCTGTTCCCTGAGTAGTTAGGGTCTAAGAGTAGTACCTTTTAAATCAACCCTAAGCCAAATTCTCAACTCCTGACTGCACTTAGCATTTGCCAAAGCACTGCAGAGGCAAGATTGTATTTCCCTCAATAAAGGTCTGCCTTTATTGTTGTTCTTATCTCAGAGGCATACATCATTCATCTTTCCCCTACCTCAAGTCAAGGTCACTTGTTTCAGGGAAGGGAAGCATCAATATTTAGGATATGTTGGCCACAGCACCAAGAATAAGCATCTGTGCAGAAGCCCACCATCAATTATAGGAAGTAAAAGCCATCTCTAGATGGTTAAGCTCGATTGCATTCCAGTAACCCAAATTTGCAATCCACAAGTACCAAGTTACTTACTTTCTGATTCCAGAATTGGGCTGCAGCCAGTCCAGTGACAGGATTTGGGTGTTAAGCGTTAGGCAAAAAACCACCTCAGGCCCCTCCTGAGTCTTCTAAGCCCACCTCTGTCCCTCACCTTTCTTCTAAGATCACTGATTAAATCAGATTTTCTGGACTCTGATTCCATGCACTTTCAAATACCTGTATGCTAATTACTTACCTTCTGAGTGCAACCTGCGACTGATTTGAGACATCTTCTTGGTTTCTAAGGCAAAAGATGACACTTTCTTCAGCAAAGAAAAACTATATGTCTTGGGCCAAGGAAAATGACTTCCTGGCAATTCACTTCACTTCCCAGAGGTGAGAGAAGGGAGGAGAGGATTCTCTCTCACAGCTCCTGCTGATCAGTGTGATGGGAAAGTTCAGTTCATGTGTGTCAGGTACTGAACAAGCACGAACGTTTTCGAATAAATGGAGCTGTACCTCTTCCAGCCACCTGTATTGTATCCTCTTCCAGCCACCTGTCTCCTTCTCACAAGTGCTTTTAAAAGTGTTTAATAATCCATCCCTGCTCACTGAGATTATGTTAATGTTTGAGAAAATGCTGCCATGTAACATTGCTGGTGAGACAGGGAGGGGTAGAGATGGATGGCTATGTAGACAGATAGAAAGAGGTGTATGATTTTTTTCCACTCAAAAATATTCTCACTGTGAAACATTCCTGCTTCTTAAAATTTTGCTTCAAAATAGAAGTATTACCTTAAATGTTTATGCATGCAGAGTACTCGGAGAATGTTAATGCATGTTCTATCAATAAATATTCAATTTGGAATATTTATCATATGGATTTCATTCAGATCTTAGATCTTGTGAGTGCCTCTATCTGGTTGACAAGGCCTCCTGTATGTTTGGTCTTAAAGGGGAAACTGAGACAGGAAAGTGAACCCATGAAGAATGAGGCTTCTAGAGGATGTTACAATCTTATGATAATGTAGTCCCCTTCGCAGCCTCATTTGCTGTTGGGAACTCACTAGGGGACTATTTAGTATGAGTCAAGCTTACCTTGAAAGACGAACACATGCGTGAGGTTTATTGTAGTCCCTGGGGTGTGAGATAATACAGAACAGGGCCCTGATATCATTTCAGGCAAATTATAGCTGGCCTCCCAGGAGTCAGGTACCAAAGACCATGGGATAGGACCAGCTGGGAGCCAACTACAAACTCTGATTCTCTAATTTTTGACGATAAAACACACAAACAATTCTCATTTGTGTCAGAGAGTGAACCGATCTTCCAGTGATTGGAGTACAGCTTATGTCTTCCCCAGGCATATTAAGAAATCGCTGAATGGAGATTGGGGAAGGAAAGAGTAGAGATGATATGAGGTCTGTAAATTACTTGCACTTAACAGCAAGGTTGGCTAGTCCCAGGCGCCTTCCTCCCCACAGTCGGGTTGTGGCCAGATGGTTTCCCCCGTGGGCCATCCAACTCTAGAAATACAGATACAAGTTGTTCTGTTCATTTACAGTAAGCAACATTAACCCTTGAGCTCAGCCTCAAGGGCAAACAAGATGTTAGAAGAAGGGAAAACAATCTCAGGAAGAAACCCCATTATTTCTACCCTGCAAAAGGACGGTGATGTGTTTGCCATTCTGGATCCAGGATGCTGATTGTATTCATTTTTTTTCCCTAGCTCTGAACTTCATCCAATTTGCAACAGATCTATTTTAAGGCAAGAAGTCAATGATATGACTCAGGCTGGGGCTCAGAGAGTCTCTCTGACAGAAGATGATGAGTCCAGTTACGGCAAGGGCTTTGACATGATGTATGGCGAATTTGACTATGATTTATGCAAAGAAGTGGTTGACGTGTCCTGCTCCCCTAAACCAGATGCATTCAACCCCTGTGAAGATATAATGGGGTACAACATCCTCCGAGTCCTCATATGGTTTATTAGCATCCTGGCAGTCACTGGGAACATCACCGTGCTGGTGGTCCTTACCACCAGCCAATACAAACTCACGGTCCCCTGGTTCCTTATGTGCAACTTGGCCTTTGCCGATCTTTGCATTGGAATCTACCTGCTGCTCATAGCATCCGTTGATGTCCACACCAAGAGCCAGTACCACAACTATGCCATTGACTGGCAAACTGGAGCAGGCTGCGCTGCTGCTGGCTTTTTCACTGTCTTTGCCAGCGAACTCTCAGTCTATACTCTGACGGCCATCACCCTGGAGAGGTGGCACACCATTACCCACGCCATGCAGCTGGAATGTAAGGTGCAGCTCCGCCATGCTTGTACCATCATGGCGATGGGCTGGATCTTTGCTTCTGCAGCTGCCCTCTTTCCCATTTTTGGGGTCAGCAGCTACATGAAGGTGAGCATCTGCCTGCCCATGGATATTGACAGCCCTCTGTCACAGCTATATGTCATGCTCCTCCTTGTGCTCAATGTTCTGGCTTTTGTGGTCATCTGCGGCTGCTACATGCACATCTACCTCACAGTGAGGAATCCTAACATCATGTCCTCTGCTAGCGACACCCGAATTGCAAAGCGCATGGCCATGCTCGTTTTCACTGACTTCCTCTGCATGGCACCCATTTCTTTCTTTGCCATTTCTGCCTCCCTCAAGGTGCCCCTCATCACTGTGTCCAAGGCAAAGATTCTCCTGGTCCTGTTCTACCCCATCAACTCCTGTGCCAACCCTTTCCTCTATGCCATCTTCACCAAGAACTTTCGCAGGGATTTCTTTATGCTGCTGAGTAAGTGTGGCTGCTATGAAATGCAAGCCCAGATTTACAGGACGGAAAGCTCATCCACTGCTCACAACTCCCACCCAAGAAATGGCCACTGCTCTTCAGCTCCAAGAGCCACCAATGGTTCAAGTTACATACTTGTCCCTCTAAGCCATTTAGCTCAGAACTAAAACATAATGTGAAAAGTATGTGCATGTTGAATGAAAAGTAAGCCTTTCCTTTGAAGAGTATGCCACAGGACAGCTGCCAGAGTGTTTCTGCATATTTCATCTAATTGAATCTTCCTGGATACCTGTAAGGTAAATTCATCAGGAACTATCAATTTCAGGTGACACATCAGGAAACTGAATTCTATTTTAATAATAATAACTATAATGCAATACTATATCATACTTGTTTTATACCTTATGATGTGCAAAGTGTTTTGTTTAGATTATATCAGCTAACCCTCATGAAAGTCCTATGAAATAGTCAGGGAAGGGATTATTCTTGGTACTTTACAAGTGAAGAAATCAAAAATAAACAAGCTCAGAGGCCCGTTTAAAGTTGCTTGGCTTGTGAGAGGCACAACCAGGATGGGGTATTCTGACTTTCAGAGAACTTTGAAGAAAAGGACCATGGCTAGCATCCATTCACTCATACATTTATTGCACACCATGATGGCTTTACAAAGGATCAACTTGGACAGGCTGACTAACCTTTCCCAGAATTCCCCTAAACGTGTTTTTAGAGCAGAGCAGAGAGAAAGTTCTTGGGAAGGTGAGAAGTCAGAGAAAAGTAACAGCCATTTTGTAGCTCAACATAAGTGATACCTCAGTTCATGAATTTGATTCTTTCCAGGATTCTGGTCACAAACCAAGCTAGATGAGAACTAATCAAATTTAATAGTTCGGTTTAATGTAGGCATTGTGGGGAAATGTGATTCAGTTTTCATCCAGTTCAGTTGACTAGCAGAATCATGGAAAGAACGGAGTTGGTGAGTTGAGGTACCACACTATTTTGTTGCTGATACTGGTTTAGCTCATTTCTGTGAAACAGCTGCTGGGTCTGCAATTACTTTACCCTCCCCCTGATCCTCCTTCAAATTGTGTGTGTGTGTGTGTGTGTGTGTGTGTGTGTGTGTGTGTGTGTGTGTGTGTGTGTGTTGGCTCCTAGATGACAGGTCTGACCTCTACAGGATACTTTTGTCGCCAAGGGCAGAGCAACAGGAATGGAAACAGTGCTCCCTTTATCTTCCTAGGGTGGCAACTTGCACTTGTTGCCTCCAAAATGTTCATGATCTTTCCTGTACAACAACCTGCCAGTCCTGAGGACATCAGGCTTCAGCATCAGATGTGGAAACAGCTTCCTTACAGAGATTGCTCAGCCAGCCCTTAATGTGCATGCCATTCCCCATAACAAGTGCTTACCAGCTATGTATGTATGCATACATACCTAGGTCCACATGACTCTGCTTTTCTGGTGAGCCCTACAGAACAGAAGATACCCCTATTCTCTGATATCATGTGGCTTTTAATGTTAAGGAGATCACAGCTTGGGAACCAGACACGGCTGAGAGTTTATTCAGACTCCATAATCAGCCAGGACTCAACTTTTTCAGCCTCCGCTTCTTCTTCTAAAAACTAGAGTTGGTCAAGTACCTAAATTTTGGGCTCACGGTAAGAAGTAGATAAGAAGATGGTTGTGAAGTGCCTAGTTCTATAACTGGTCTGGTGCATAATAGCACACTTCTCTCCACCTGGACCAGTGCCTGGATTAGTAACCACCTCTCCTGACATTCAGTATAGAACACATTCCTTTACAGCATATTGCTCCTGATAAATAACCACACTACTCACATTTATTCTCATAAATGACCCCCTCCAAATAATTGAATCATAAATACGCACCATAAATTTCACCAAACACTGTGCCTCAGCCAGCCTACAAAGCTCTGAGTCTCCTCTCTGAGTATCCTCTTTCAAAGTCAAAACCAGTCCTTCCTCCTGTTGCCCTATGGCAAACGTTTAAAAAGTTGATCCCAAATCCATTAATGAAGAAGACCTTGTAAAGGCAGGAGAAGAAGCAATCATCTGTGCCCATCTCACCTGGCGCTATCTCCATTGTGATGCATCAAATGAAAAACTAATTTCCATGTAAATAGTTTAGAGCATGTCCCAATAAAAGGAAGAAAGCCACCTTAAAAACATAATGAAGAGTTTTGCTGTCTAGTATGGTGGCCACTAGCCACATGTGGCTGCTAAGCACTTGAAGTGTGAACAGCCTGAACTGAGATGTGATACAAGTATAAATACACACTGGATTTCAAGTACTGAGTACCACAAAAAAAAAGAGTAAAATAGCTTGATACTTCTTACAGTGGTTACATTCTATAAAATACTATTTGGATGTATTGAGACAAATATGTAACACATTTAAAATGTTTCACCTATTTCTTCTTACATATTTATGTGGTTTCTAAAACATTGAAAATTACATATGTGGCTGGCACTTGTGGTTTGCATTACATTTGTATCGGAGAGAACTGACCTAAAGTTCTCCGAAAACAAAGGATTTACATTTAGCATTATTCTCCCCAGCCCCACACACCAGTTTGCTGCACTACTGGGCTGTCACAGCTCCATCTGCAGTCATTCTTCTTTCTTATTTGTGGCCAGAGGCAAAGTATTTCTGAATTTGGACTCAAAAGCAAGTAGAAGCTAAATTATAAATATGATCGAGTAGTAATTATCTCACAACATGGCTGCTGATGACACGTTGGTTTAAGAGATTGTGCCTCTGACAGGAGAGAATAGATTCAGAGACAAACACAAACCAAGGGGCTCCAAAGACATCCCTCCCAGCTCTCTGTCACCAGGACGCTTCTTGGTAAAAAATGGGACTTTTCTTAAACAAGCAAACATATTTTGGGACAGCTAAATTCAGTGTTTTAAACCCTTTAGACGAGTCTCACAGGAAAGAAATATACCCCCCACGTCTGTGTTTTGGAATACTTCCCACATTTCCTATAGTGCAATAAAAAGCATTGGAATCCAGTATATCAATTCCTTTTCCCCAAGAGTAGTTGTCCAGGTAACACATCTAAAGCCGTCCCTCGAGCACGGTGGCTCAGTCCCAGAGTAGTGACCCAAAAGGGAACACACACCCACAGAGGGAGCTTCAAAATAGGACCGGGGGAGTAACTCAGTGATAGAGCACCTTTCTAGCATGTGGAAAGTCATGGGTTCATTCCCTAGCACTGCAAAACATTTTCCAAATAATACAAGAAATAAGAAAAGTTTCTAAAATTCTTTAAGCCTTTATTTCAATTCTCAAACACCATGAAAAGAACTAATAACCCTCAAAGATTTCTTAGCGTACCCACATCTCTGGGGATGCCAGGGCTTAAAATATAAACAGCTGGCTCAGCCTAGGTACTGATCTCTCAGAATGGACACTGACTATGAACATCCATTGGGCCATCCTGGTGCACACAGGGTAAATGCCAGTCCTGCGTGTTTTCCTCCTACCCTGACCTCTGCACTGCTCCCATATCTCTGTCCCAAACATCTCCCCATAAAGCCTCCTCCAGACTTATCCTGATGGCCTCTCCCTTGCCTTTCTCCCTTCTCCCTTCCCTCCATATATCACCTTATGGAATCCCAAGGAGCACTCAGAGCACTTAAGACCTTTCTTGGAGGGGTCAAAACAAAAAGACTGCATGCATAAATCCAGAAGCTCATAAGGGACAGAGTGGAGAGAATAACTAAGGGTGTGTATTGATTTTATCTTGCTACACACAGCAGTAAGGGAGAGAGTGGCACTGGAAAGTGTTGTTTCACCATGGGGCCCCATGAACTGAAACAGGGAATCCTTCAGATCTTGTTTCTGGAAGGAGGGAGAAAGCAAGGGAAGGAAATATTGCCTCACAGAGATGCTGCAGTTCTTCCCACAAGTGGCACTGTGTTTTATTTAGTCCAACATCATAGGGTATTCATAAGAAAATCAAGAAATGATTTCTGTAAATGTTGGCCTCCATCTTTGAGTTCATAAAGGATTTTATTTCCTGAGGAAAGTTTAAAAAGGCACAAGCAAGAAATGAACACTGAACTTCTGGAGAGAGTAGATAAATACATACAATGTTTTGTTGGTTTGTTTATTGAATATAAACCCTAGTCCATTAAGTACACTAAATAAAAGTCAGCACAAAATAAAGCTCAACTTTGAGGTTGTGCTTGTTGGGTTTCATCAAAAATGTTTTCAGTGGGCTGGGGATTTAGCTCAGTGGTTCCACTGCCTGCCTCACAAGTGCAAGGTCCCGAGTTCAATCCCTGGTACAAAAAAAAAAAAAAAAAAAAAAATGCTTTCAGCTACAAGAAGCAAAAACTCCTGCTCCTATAATAAGATCAGTTATATAATATGCTTCTGGCTTAGATGAGACATCTGATGGTCACAAGGACCTTTTTATCCTTTTGCTCTACCATCCTTGGAGAATTGTACACATCTTTCTCCATGGGAGCAAGGCTGCTGCTGCAGTTCAAGTTGCCACATGTAGTCATGAACAAATCCATAAATGAGAAGTCTTTCTTTCCATGGATCTCTCTTTTCAAAAGAAAGATCGTTTCTCCCTGAAAGATTCTAAGAAATCATCCCTTCCTATCCATTAACTAAGACTGCTTCCCTAGCTCTAAGAAATACTACAATGAGCCTCTGCCACATTCGGCCTCTGTACAAGCAAGCAGGCTCTTCCAGCCAGGAAGGTGAAATCCAGAGCTGGATTAAGGGAAATGCTGGAGTGGGCAACCTAAATGAGTCAAACCTGAATCCTTTCCCATGCGATGAAGCCAATGGGGCTCAAGGTCAGTGTGATAAACTGCACTGTCAACTTGATAGGCTTTGGAGTCTACCTGAAGGGGCTAGACATAGGGATTAGTGTGTAACTTCCGGGTATGTCTGGGTGGGCCACAGAGATGTGTCCTTGGGGACTGTAACATGTCCGTGCGTCCGCGGCCTTTCCTCTCTGGCACTGTTCCCCTCCTCTGCTTTCTGACTGCCATGTGATGAGCAGCTTAGCTTTTACTATACCTGTCTGCCACAATGTTCCTGTCTTGGAGCCAGCTGACCCTGGACTACACCTCTTAAACCATAAGCCAAATAAAATTTCTCTCAGTTAAGTTGTGGGTGTCAGGTACAGTAAAATAGTGCCTCAGTTTTCAGACAGAAGTCTTCAGCAAAATTTTGCTTTCCTTCCTGAACTCCACATCGGG